TCTGATAATGCCTTTCCCTAAACTGCATATCAACCTGTGTACAAAAGTATTCTATCTCATGCATTTGTAACTTTTTGAAACAAAACAAGTCAAATAAGAAAAAGACGCATAAAACACTCAAATGTAATGGTACCTAACTATGTAACGCGCATCTTAATGCATGAAACAACATTGACACATTTGTCTGCTGCGCTATCAAGGCGCATCAAAATATGACGTTTTACGTTAGGCTTCGGTCTGCTTTACCTATTTTTTGCAATATTATTAATTTTTATGTAAACACAGGCTCAAGTCATCGTCCTTGGACAGTACTTTGGCAAAAATGCCCCCAGGAAATTATGTGAAAACAACGTGTGAAAAAAATCTCCAATATTGAATGTATAAAACGTTTTTGAAACGTTTTGAAATGTTTATGTTTTGAAAAATTAAAATAATTCTGTTATATACATAAAGTGAAAAGTAGAAATCACTTTAAACTCAAAATTTTCCAAGAAGTTATATATTATCCTTTTAAAATTTCAAAGCGAACTTAAAAAGATGTAAATTGATAACCCATTTGGTTTGCATTACTATTGTTGTATATAAACCAATTCAAGACATATATGTGAAAATTAGCCTCCTTATCAATAGCATAAGGCAATGGCATATTTTTAAGTCTGCCCTTTAATAAAAGGGCGGACAACTCTTTGTCCCTTTCTCGTAAGAGAAAGGGAACCCTGTGATGCGTGTATATGGTCGCACGGTCATTTTCCTTCAAACATTTCCTCGATGCATGTATGTGGTCGCATGGTCGAAAATCTCTAATATAATGACAACATTAACAAAGGCGTTTTGGTCCCGATTTTAAAATCGTTATCAAAGAAATAAAATATTATTAGGACTTGAGAAATAAAATTTCTTCTGCACCCTTGCGCTATTTGCAATATAATCAAGGGAGGCAGCACTTATCAACGCAAAAACAATCTCCCTTTGGAAGCCTTACATCATTTGCAATGTTTTTAGGGGTTATCTCCCTTTTCACCTCTCACGCCAGTTGCAATGTTTTCAGGGGAGGTCACTCTAACCGACTTTTTTGCAGCGCAACAGTTACCTCCCTTTTGAACTCTTACGACATTTGTAATGTTTTCAGGGCAGGTCACTCTATCCGACTCTCTTTTAGGGTAACAGTTATCTCCCTTTTCACCTCTTACGCCATTTGCAATGTTTTCAGGGGAGGTCACTCTAACCGACTTTTTTGAGCGCAATAATTACCTCTCTTTTGAATCCTTACACCATTTGTAATGTTTTCAGGGACATCACTCTAACCGACTCATTTTTATGGCAACAGTTACCTCCCTTTTGAACTCTTACGACATTTGCACTGTTTTCAGGGCAGGTCACTCTAACTGACTTTTTTTTGGCAACAGTAACCACCCTTTTGAACCCTTACGTTATTTGCAATGTTTTCAGGGATGTCGATCTAAACTACTCTTTTTTTAACGCAATAGTTACCTTCCTTTTGAACCCTTACGTCATTTGCAATGTTTTCACTGAGGTCACTCTTACAGACTTTTTTTAGCAAAACAGTTATCTCGCTTTTTAACCTTAAAGTCATTTGCAATGATTTCGGGGGAGGTCACTCTAACCGACTTTTTGTAGCGCAACAGTTATCTCCATTTAGAATCCTTACGTCATTTGCAATGTTTTCAAGGAAGGTCACTCTAACCAACTCTTTTTTAGCGCAATAGTCATCTCCCTTTTTAAACCTTACGCCATTTGCAATGTTTTCCGGGGAGGTCGCTCTAACCGACTCTTTTTAAGCAGATCAGTAACCTCCCTTTTGAACCCTTACGCCATTTTTATGGATTTAGCTCAATACAGGATTGGAGCAGTACCTCTAGACGCTTGCAGAAATCCTTGATCAAAAATAGACCAATTGCAATGTTTTCAGGGAAGGTCACTCTAACCAACTCTTTTTTAGCGCAACAGTCATCTCCCTTTTGAAACCTTACGCCATTTGCAATGTTATCAGGGAGGTCACTCTAATCGACTCTTTTTAGTGCAATAGTCATCTCATTTTTTTACCTTATGACATTTGCAATGTTTTCCGGGGAGGTCGCTCTAACCGACTCTTTTTAAGCAGATCAGTAATCTCCCTTTTGAACCCTTACGCCATTTTTAGTGGTAATTTTAAAATAACAATCTGAAATGTCGGAATTGGAGTGGCCATTGTAAAATTAGTGAAATAACATAGAAGATTTTTCTGATATAGTACACGCGTCTAATTTTCTATTGGTCTTAAGGAGTCTGGAAACGAAGTATCTACATTCATAAGTTCTTTGACTATCAAGTTTAAGATGAAGACTATGCTCAAATTTTATATTTGAAAATTTTTATAATTGCTACAAAGTCTCTTTGTATATAATATGAAAAAGGCAAAGCATCAAAGCGAGCTCGATTTTTATAGTTTAAAGTAATCGTTCATTTTTATTTTACATTTTCCGTTTTAAAATTGTCATTCGGTATTTTATACACTGCTTCCGTTCATTCTGGTTCCCCCTTTCTATTATGGTTCCTATATAAGTGCACAGGACACCAGTCTACGCTTCGGTTTTCAATCAGAGTACATCGGCTTTAATCGTTATCTTGTAAATCGAAAAGTTGTGATGTGTCAATTCGGTACTTCGGACGAAAGTTTTCAAAACCATTACTTAGCGGGTACTCGCGTCAACGTAAAGCTCGCTGTGTGGAGCTCGCTATAAGATAAACACGTTTTGACTTGACACAAAGTAGATATGTAATGTTTTAAGTTCTATACTATAGGTGGTCACAATATTAATATATAGTGCCATTTTACGAAATGACCAACTTTACTTGTTCAGTAATAGGGAACGCAACTTCTCATACATACTTATTCAAATTGGACACATTCAATAAATATTTCATTGGTTTCAATAAAATTAAAATATTGTGCTCAAGGATAACCTTAGTACATCTTTAAATTTCAGACTCTTAAGTTCTGTTAACCATGCCTTCTCCTAAACATTATTAGTTCTATATTCCCATATATCCTGCAGATTATTTAACGATCGAGTTATAGATTTTGTCAAACATTAGTGAGAAAATTAACCACCACTTTCAACTTCCACCACTTTCCTGTTTAATCAGGAAAATAGCGAACAGCACACGAAAACGAACTTATATGATATTATCAGTTATATACAAAAGTTATAATTTTCATGTATTTTACATATTTATGAATTATTTATTTAACCACTAATGATTGAATGTTTTGTTTATTTTCGTTATTTCCAAAGGTGTTGCAAATCTGTTAATTCGGGCATTTCGTATCAACAAAACGTTGTCATTAATTTATAAACTTTCAATTAAAATTTCAATTGGAATAAACTGCAATAACTTAAATGTTTTTCTTTGAGTTAAAACGACATTTACAATAATAGAAATAAAAGAATTACATGACGGTAAAAATGAACTGAAACGAAAATATTAAGTACGAAATAAATTGTTTTGTTTGTAGTTCGTATTTACTTCTTCTTTACTTTTAAAGGATTTACTTCAGACGTAAGATTTTATTTCTATTAAAATACATTGTATATGCCAACATATGCACATGTTTTTAATATTTTAAAAATTTAAACGTAACATTCAATACTAGGCTCAACATCATAAAACCTAATGATTCCTTTTTCCATGTTTTCTAAGATACTTTATGCAAATAAACCAGTTTTAGTCCGACTTTAAAGATACTTCTTGTTTCAAAGTTATCTACCTTTGTTTCCAAATAATACAATGATTCTAATTTCTGTTCAACAATACACAGTCAATCTGTACAAGATAATATCATTAAGTCAGTGTGTGCAGTGGTTTTTTCTCTCACTTCTGTGGGTCTCACGATTTCGTTGTTTGTTCCAGAATTTGAAATTCTAACAATTCTTCATTTTCTTGTGCAGGTATAGATAATTGGGAAAGATAAAGCGACACTATCATTGTCAATATCATAAAGGACTGAATGTGTTTCCTGCAAAGGTCTTCTTTCGGCAACCCCTTCAGGTATAGTACAAAATAAAGCAAGTGTAAAGCGGGTGTCAAACAAAAATATGGATGAAAAGAAAGAGCCGCGAAATCAACGATCAATACAAGAGAATTCGTTAGGTGTAAAATAAGTGCAGGTGGCAATTTTCTGATGAAACGTGGATAACTGATAAACTCGGTAATTGTTTGACACAAATGCATTGCGTCATACTTCGGATAAGGACTATCGGCATTGATTATTGGCGTTTGGCGAGGTGTTCCAAATAACATAAAAATATACTTTTATAATAACGTCCATTGTTTGACCACGGCTTTAATTGAATTTAGATCGTGGTTGTAGGCGTTGGTAGTTTTTGCTTATTTATAACATACTTTTGCTTATTTGTAACATACTTTTGCTTATTTGTAACATACTTTTGCTTATTTGTAACATACTTTTGCTTATTTATAACATACTTTTGCTTATTTATAACATACTTTTGCTTATTCAGTTCGTATTCGTTTGTTGTTGATTGTTAAGAATAGAAGCACATAAAAAATCGACAAACTGGAACTCGTGCTTGTCTCTTTGGACACAAGGATAAAGGGAAGAGCTGGCTCAGTGGTGTCGGTATCTTTTTCCAAACCTAAAGGTCAGTTTTCGAACGCTACTGGGGTCCTCAAAAGTATCTTAAGTATGGTTTATTCCATTGAAAGACCCTGATTCCAGGAAGGTAACTAGAGAATGGTTAAAAAAAGCTCAAAGATTTCTCCACAATGGAACTTAACTATATAATGTTAAATTTAACATGTGAATTGTAAATGGAGATTTCATTCCGCTGTTGAATATGTGATATGGTTAAAGTGTGTGTTTAACGTGAGTTTAAAGACATACTAGAGTCTGTAGAAAAAAATCTATATTTTGTAGCTAATGAAAGGTATTCTGGAAAATGTAAACATACAAATTTTTTCTTGAAAAAGTATACTCGTTGATTTAGCAAATTTATTTTTTGCCATTAAGTGTAAATGTTCTTTCAGAGTTCTTTATAGGCGTACAATGGGCTCATTTTCCATAAGTATTTCAAATACTGATGAAACATAAGAAATGTGTCACATGGATATTCTTATAAAATATTGCCTGAAAAAAATTGTTGATTAAGTTCTAAATGATTCAGTATGAACGTTTAAATACGATGAATAATGATTGAGCCGCGTCATGACAAAACCAACGTAATGCGTTTGCGACCAGGATAAGGATCCATGCTGTTCGCTTACAAACCCTATTACAAGTAGAGAAGCTGATAGCGAACAGCATGGATCCTGATCAGACTACGCGGATGCGCAGGCGTGTCTGGATCCATGCTGGTCGCAAACCTATTGTGTTGGTTTTGTCATGACGCGGCTCATATAACTCTTTGGTTGTTTGTCGGATACTGATAACTATCAACATTATTTTATATCAACATTATTTATTGTATTAAACACCTTTTATTATAAACCAATTCACTTTGATTGAATGGTGTTGTGAACATGGCCTGATAATTTTAACATAAATCTTCATACATCGACTATATTATACATTGAATGAAGTAAATCTGTAGTTAAATATCATATACAGAATAATGATGGCAAAAGGTAGACAGAGATCTGGCCAGTTTACGGAAGGCGACTATTAAAATGATAGTCGTTGGCATCTCCAGTATAACATGAAACACACTTTCACTTTCTGATTTGTACTGGGTTTAAATGACTTAAAATCCAACTTTACCTATATTATCTATATTAATTCTTTTGAAACATTATTTATTAACACAATTTGAATTGCGAGAAACTATTAATTGTGAATCTTTACTTTTGTAACATTCTTTATCATGGTTTCACTATTCACACATGAAAATATACAAATAAATTCAACGCAAATATAGTATAAGTAACAGAAAATCATCCCTTAAGAAACGTTTACTCATCAATTTAAATTTCAGTTATCTCTCTACACTACACAGAAGTGATCACTATCTACACTACACAGAAGTGGTCACATTTTGGCATCTACCATATTTCGATGTCCATGTTGGAACTTGCAGATTGGGGACACATGTAAGGGAAGATTTACACGGGCAACTTTCAGGCCACTCTTCGGCTGCAGCATAGCAGGGTCCGCCTACGTCACTAATTGGTTTACAGTAAACTTGTCCTGATTGTGTTGGGTCCTGGCAGCAGCACGAGCCCGGCGGACATGTACTGTATCGCAGTGCTAGGCTGGACATCTGACAATCATGTGCCTAGAACGAAGTGGAAAAAAATCTGTTCATCATCAAAAAATGACGTTTAAGGGCCCAGAAATTCTATCATTTTTATTTCTCAAATAGTTTATTTTTGTATCTATTTACAGTTTCCTAAAACATACCCATTTGCTACATACATAAATTATCTTTTGCATATTTAGTTCTGTTGGCAAATGGTACAATTATAGTGAATTACATGTAGTATTTTGTATGGAATTCAAAATACTACTTTGTCTTAACTGCGTGTTCAGCGCTACTTTGCCAGTTGTAAAATATCCAACATGCTTTTAATCCATTATAAAAAAAAATATTTAACGCATGTTTGATATTTCTAAAGAATTAAAGAAATATGGATTTCTGAGGTATAATGCTGACATCGTCGAATACACGGTACACATTCCGTATATGTACTATACTATACGGTAAATAGCCTGGGTTACCGAGGGCAGCACGAGTTTTATAGCATTAAATTGATTGTTTTAAAGTATATTAAAATCACTTGTTAAAGTGGCAAACTGTAAAAAAGGTAGTTGCTTAAGTTTGACTTCCTTTCTATAATTGTTTTTATCGCAAAAAATAAATAAATATAAAAATATGCTTTTAAGTTACTTTTTGGAAACTATAATAGGACACTCAAATTTTGACAGGATCTAAATTTCGACAATTTTTCGCAATATTTCATTTTTCTTTTGGTGTTGTCACGCGAGGGTGCGTATATTATTACTATGTTATCAATTGCACATCTAAATTATATAAAATGAAATTACATACATACTTTAACTCAGGCAAAGTGTATTTTCATTCAATGCAGTAACGAAAGAAAAGACTTTCAACTTGAACTTTTTGCCATGTGTAAATGAAAATGAGATACACTTACCAAAAATAGAGAACTGGTGACAGTGAAAATTGTAAACAAGAAGAAAAGTTTTAACATCGCCATATTGTTGTGCTTGTTTTGCACTTAACACAAAGATAAAGGACATACATTATCTTGATTATAGTATGTTATCTAAACTAATTCTCATGTACATGTAAATGCTTTAAAGTAACTTAACTTCAGATCTCTGTTCATTTTTATGAAAAGATATAAATGGTATGCAATGCAATGATGTTGATTGTATTTAGTACTATATGTGATAACAAACTACGAAATAAATGAGCCGCGTCACAACAAAACCAACGTAATGCGTTTGCGACCAGCATGGATCCATCCGCGCAGTCTGATCAGGATCCATGCTGTTCGCTATCAGTTTCTCTACTTGTAACAGGGTTTGTAAGCGAACAGCATGGGTCCTGATCAGACTGCGCGGATGCGCAGGCTGGTCTGCATCTATGATGGTCGCAAATCCATTATGTTGGTTTTGTCGTGACGCGGCTCAAATATATATCGGTATTGCTGACAAGCGTTGTAACACCGCAAAACGTCCGTACCGCAAAACGTACGCGTGTGGACGTTTTGCGTCGCATATCGTACTTGGTACGTTTTGCGGCGGGAGTATGTATTTGCGTCGCATATCGTCCATATTTTCTGTATTAAAATATATTCATTACAAACGTTACTTTTATTGGTTCTGTCACTTTCATATTGTTTCAGGTAAAGATATGACGAAATAAACATTAAAGTGCAATATTTTTGTGATCCTATATAATTCTGACTTTTTTTATTTAAAAAAAAGAAATATGCTTAAGCCGAGGATGTTTTTCGAATAGATTTTTTTATGGAATGGAACCAAGCAGAAGCAGCAGCAGCAGAGATATAAAAACGATGATATTGAAATAAATGTAATCTTATAGACATACAGAAAAGGACGGCTATACGGACGGACAAACCGGGGATTGGACTGAGTGAATGACAAAAAATATTAAAATTAAGCATAGTTTTCCATATAATTGCATCAAGAAGTGGGGATGATTTTTTGTGTTCTTGTTGACTATGGAGGTTTGGTTCTACCGTTCATTTTTACGGGGGATGGATGGGGGCTTTTGACAGCGTAGTCATATTTGAGCGAGAGAGCTATATTGTCATGGAGATAGGGCCTTTAAGTCGCCTAGTCATAATTGAGCAAGAGCTTTTGTCGCGGGGAGCGAGGCTGGGAATGGGAATCCTCTTAGCTCATAAATGAACTTGATCGAGACCTTATTGTTATACATATTCCGTATAAAAAAATTAAGAATAGAGAAGAAACGAAAGCACTAACAAGGTGAAATATAGCGCGTTTTTGTTTTGTTTTTTTTTTGTTAGATTTAACCTATAATCTAACTTTGTTGAGATTTTATGGTCATAGATATTCTCTTGAAAATTGTCAAGATTGAAGAAGAAATGAAAGCGTTGGAGTGGTAACAATGTGACATATAGCATATATTGTAATTCAAGGGCAAATAACTCTGGACATATTGCTTAGTGTATGTGGATGCTAGAGTGGTAACAAGCTAAATTTGGACGGACAGACAGACAGGCGCATACTCAGGTAAAATTAGCATACAATAACACCTGATAATAACTGGTCAAAATTAACGAAATTTATATAAACTTTAAAATATGGACGTTATGCGGCAGGACCATGCCTTTTTGCCGCAAAATGTACGTCAGAAAAATGTGGACGATATGCGCCGCAAAACGTCCGTATACGTACGTTTTGCGGTACGGACGTTTTGCGGTGTTACAAAGCGTCATAAGATACATGATGTTATATTAAATTTTTATATATACATGTAGTTGATAATAAAATTTTCTAGAATGAAATATTATTCATCATATAAATGGCGAATTAAATCACTTATAACAATACACACATTTTTTTGGTTAAAGAAATATCTTGTAAGAATATCAAAATGATACGTTTCTCTTATTTTTTTATATTATCAATATCAAAATTGGGCCCGTTGCAGACCAATCCACTTTAATTTGTATATGTTTCACACAGTGCGTTGATATTTTATTCTCCTCCAATTTTGTTTAATTTTCTCATTTATGTATATCCCTCTCAATTTACAAATGTTTCCTGGGTGTCTTAACAAGAAATCAAACAACGTCTGGTGAATGCAAACAAATGACCCCTGGAATAGAAATACGGTGTCCCACCACTACACACTAAATACTAAAAGATATTTCTAACAGATCGTCCTTGGACTATAGATTCTAACCACTTATGATAAAAAAATCTCAATTATGCACGGTTATACATGTATATGTATAGTATAAAGAAAACTTACATGAAAGAAATATCTTGTTAAAGAACATTGTACAACCCGCCCCCAACCTCAACTCAGAAAAGGAAATAAATAGGCGTACTTGTGCATGAACCATAACATACGTTGTTTGTCCAAATTTTACAGTTTAAAGTTTCATACCTTCAGATGAGCCCAACTCAAAAACATCAAACTTGAGAAAAATGCACTAAGATTTTTAAAAAAAGTATAAAGATGAAAAAAAAACTCAAGTTATAATTTACATTTTATGTGCGATTATTGACTGATTTTTGCAGTTTTTACCATAATATTTCTGCTGCGTGATGGCTATTTTGCATATTTTGACATCATTTGGGTAACTTACGTGAACTTTAAGTGCCGTCTGCTATGTGTGTATTACCTTCTTCGGTAATAGTTTACTTTACTTTTAAATACAGTTTCAAAATTTTCATGAAAATTAGCATGAATTGTGAAGCATGCTGTTTTTGAATATACACAGCGATTTGTAGCTTAAAACAAAACTTTCGGAAATTAAATACAATACATAATTCACCTGTTTTTTTAGGAATCTATTAATGATGAAGTATACTTCTTTTATTGTAGAAATTCTAGACATTTCTGGCAACTGCCTAAACAAAATTCAGTAGTTTTCTATCCTTAAATTCTTGATTAACACTACCTACCCATGTTCATATTAACAGAAGGTGACATATCTCTAAATAGCGCCGTTCCTTCGGATTGGAAATAAACTTGTACATCATGAAAGTTTACTATATTCTAGGCATTTCTGCCAAATGCCTGGATAAAATAATGTTCTTTTCTATCCTTAAATTCTTGATTAACACTACCAAATTCTTGATTAACACTACCTACATAAAAAGTATATCCATGTTCATATTAACAGAAGGTGATATATCTCTAAATAGCGCCGTTCCTTCGGACTGGAAATAAACTTGTACATCTTGAAAGTTTACTATATTCTAGGCATTTCTGCCAACTGCCTGGATAAAATAATGTTCTTTTCTATCCTTAAATTCTTGATTAACACTACCAAATTCTTGATTAACACTACCTACATAAAAAGTATATCCATGTTCATATTAACAGAAGGTGATATATCTCTAAATAGCGCCGTTCCTTCGGATTGGAAATAAACTTGACAATCATGAAAGTCTACTATATAAACGTAGTGTGTGCATAACATTTTTATATAATGCTTTTGAGTCGTTTGCTCAAATATCATGTTTATTTCATCCCTGTTATTATCGCGTATCAAATTTAGTACTTTGACACACATCACAATTTAGCACTACATAATTATTTGTTCAAATAAGACAAAAAAGAAGAAAGTGGGAGCGACTTAACACTATCCCTAAAATGTTTTGACAAATAATCGATGTTTTGTAATATATACTGCAAACTGCGATAACACATTCATTCATTCATTCATTCATTCATTCATTCATTCATTCATTCATTCATTTATACTCTCATTCATACTCTCATTCATTCAACCATTCGTCCGTCCGTCCGTCCATCCATCCAACTATCTGCAAACCCATCCCATCATCAAATTCCATCCAAATCTATCCCATCCATCCATAAAAAGTATTTTATTCCTTCCCAACTGAGAGAACACATTTATATTATATTCCCTGCCAAATGGGAGAATATAAATGTTATATTTTATTCAAACCGGAATTTTTTTTTTATATGATATTCCAGATATTCCATATTGATATTCCCTGTAAAAATCAGCAAACAAAAACACGGTATTTTGATTTCAAATCGGAAGAACATAAAAAGCATCAGATCCACCTATTGCTACATGACCCATATGACCCATATAAAAATGCCCAGCCCGAGGTACATGCAATAAGAATATAGGCGACATTATTGTTCCGACAAACATCGAAATATTTATTTTAAAGAGACTGGAATAAATCGGATTCTGCCACGATATTTATTTAGTATTATTTGAATACCCGTTAAAATTGATAAGAACGAATAAAGAAAGATCAAATTCGACGCAGGGCCTCCGAAGCCTATAATAAACTGATCTATATCGCTGACATCACCGATCTGGGTTTGAATACTGTCAGGGACTTTTTTCAAATGAAGAAATCATCCAACAAGCTTACGGGTGGTTCATGGCTCTTTTAATGTGGGACAGATGAGGACAGAAGATAACGGGTTATCTTCTGTCCCAGTTCTCAGATGCATTCAACGCTCGTGCCGGAAATGCAGGTCTTTCTCCTTCAATAAAGCTTGAAAGTCGCCATTAGACATTTTGTGTTGGCGTAACAAACCTCAACCTTTCTTAAAATATATATGTTGTGTTGATGCCTTCTAAATTAAATTGTCTTGTTCATAACTTTATATGACAATTATTTATAAACAATTTGATATTACAATTCTTTACTAAAGGGAAACAAATGTGTCTATGTTTTAGTTTTTTATCGTTAAAACCTTCCTTGTACTGCTTATTCATAATTAGTATAACTGTCGTCTGCCGTTGGTACCGGAAATACTGAAATGCCTCCGAGAATTTAACGCACCAAATAAATGTCGTGAAACGATTTTGAGACATTTATACAAAATAACTACAAACAACTTGAAAACAAAATAAAAGGGAACATTAAAGAAACTCCAATTCGGGTCAATTTTCACAGTAAAAATAGTTATTCTGAAAAAACGGACTGAGCGAATGATCTGAATTTTTGCACACAAGTCATTGGTCTAAGACTACATCAAATGGGACATTAAACTTTGAAAAACTATTTTCAGTCCGGTCATGTCAAATAATCCCAGTGGAGTCCCT